CGATAGAGCCTGAATGAAGCGGGGCTGTTTCTTATTAAGCCTCTAATGCGCTCTCGAATTATCGGATCGGCTCTTGATCTCCAAGGGTGAGTATTCGGGAATCCCCCTATATATAATCGGCTTAGCGTCTGTCTGTAGACAAAATTTGCCACCGATTCTTACCGTAACTGCAGCATACCTAGAATACCTTCGCTCATCACCAATAAGCGTACCCCCAGCTCCAAATTCATCCTGCAAGCGGAAATAAATGGCTTTCGAAGCGGATCTACTTGACCTGCCGCTGCACCGCCGCCGCGGCCGTGCTGCGGCCACTGGACTCGGCGCTCGCCGCTGCGCCCGTTCTGCGCTCGCAGCCGCGGCCGTCCTGCGCCCTTTCTGCGCTCGCCGCAGCGGCCATCCTGCGCCCGTTCTGCGGTCGCAGCCCAGAAGAGGAATTATTAGTCCTCGAGTTAGCTTGAAGGTTTCTCCGTACGGGAGCTCTTATACCCTCACGGAGCCGCCTTCGATGCGATAATATAGCCGTAAACATTTTCTGTTTTACATTTTGCATTCGCTTTCTCAGTCGTTGGATCCGTTGTCGTTATTGAATTCGTCGACGCTTCTTCCTTTTCTTCCTTTTCAATATCCGTTGTTCGATCCGTTGTCGTCATTGAAGTAGTCGACTAGCCTTATGCTGCTGTGATCAAGGTCTTTCTCAATGCCACGCCGTAAGACACCTGACAGGGAAGATTACGATCCGACGACTGAGAGGAAGCTTCAGAAGGTGGCATGCGCGAGAACCCGCCTAGGAAGAGAAACAGTCGAGCACAGGCAGGTACGTCTTACCGCAGATGGTATTTCGCATGCTGCGAAGAGAGCATGTGAAAATTCCGTTCCAAGAGCAGAGCGCCTCATGACTCATGTGGTACTTAGGTAGGTACGCTGTGTCCGATTGTGCTTCGAAAGGCACAAATTTCTCTTTGTTCGAATTTGGTCATCGCTGATGGGGATATATATGACTCGCTGATGGTGACATATATGACATTTTCCCAATCCAATATTTATATCGACGGAGCGCTTGCGCTTCTATTTTATAGGGTGGAGGGTGAATTTCCCGACTCAAATCCTGAGTCTCCGTAGGATGAGCTCACAAATGATGCTGGAACGCAAGCCGAAAAGAAGGCCGGCTCCAGCCGGCCCGAGGCCGGCTGGTAAGGACAATAATGCGCAGACATTCCGAGGCTTGTAACATTTGTATGAGCAGTTTCAGCTCATTTACGTGACTCTCTCGGAGCCTCCGAATATCCCGGCGCAGCACCCCCAGCGCTACTTGTTCTGGATCCCCGGAGATACTCCCGTAGGCAACCAATAGGGATGTGCATGATCGCAAGAGAACTTTGGGGACATTCCGCTGTCGAGAGAAAGGCGCAGCTAATTTTCATGTGTTCTCTCGGTCGATGGCAGTACGGAAAGTTTCCCCGGAACTTTTCGACAGCAGCTGGGCGCAGACAAGGATTCGGAGGTGCTCGACAAGAACGAGCTGGACCATCCAAGAGCAGCGAGCTTGACCTGTGTCGTGTGATCGTCACAACTCGAACCCATCGGTAGCGGCGTCAGGCGTACATCCACGCTCCCATGCATCCAACCATGGAAAATGGCGCCGGTCGCTCTGTGATTCTGGTCCCGTCTCTTGCACTGCTATCGAGCCCCTGCCTTTCGCGGAACTGATTGCGCCGATACCCATCGAAGAACGCCGGGGACGTCTCTCGATTACCTCTAATAAATAAGCGGAAAGGTGGCGATAACACTCCCGATGCGGGTGAGGCCCCGCAATGTAAAGTATGAAGTGCGAATCGCCCATACGTGGCATAGCAGGCGCAGCGAGATTTCCCCACGACTGGGAGTTCCTGAAGCATCCCCACGTCTTGCGTAGCCGATTCGAAGCTCGCTGCCGGTGTCCAAGAGAGGATGACGATCGCTGACCGGTTCCATGCGGTGGACTAGGCACAGGCGATGATTGTCCTAGAGAAGTTCAATGAGAGCGCTCTGCATTAAGGGAGCGCTGATCCCCCTGTATGCGGACTTGGAGTGCAGACACGATTCAGCCATTCCTCGAGGCGGGTATTCGAGCTCCAGGCTATCTCAGCGGGAGAGCTCGATAACGGGCCTTGAGGATTGCTCTTACAGTTGGAGAGCCCCAAGGAGACCGTGACGGAATTTCTCCAAATTATCCTGCATATCCCGATATTTCATCCCTATCTGCGCGACGGTAATAGGCGATGGAATTTTCTCATGAGTAGAGCCGTGAGAAAACTGCGGTGGTCGCGGAAACTTTGATTTCCAGCAATTACGGCCGCGGTCCACGTGCCCTGGTCTGGTGTAACACATGCAACTTTCGACGCGACTGCCGATCATACCGCGCACTCTCCTTGATCCCGTGAGCGCGTCAGAGTTCCAACTTCCGCGCCTAGCCCGGGCAGCCCATTCTTAGTCGAGTCCGACCCGTGTGCGTCAGATGAGCCCCGACTAGACCGAATCTGGTGACTTATTGCTTGCCCGCGGTAGTCTAAATCTGGCTCTTAATCTCGATTCTCTCTCGATCAAATCTAATTTATTTTATGTGACTGAAGTGCGCGTGAGGATCGAATCGGTGCCTAGATGAACATTCCTCCCGATACAAGCGATTCCCCCGTCTTTCTCGATTTCTTATCGCGATCGTCCGCGATAGAGGCCGTTTTTTTCCCGCGAGGAATGAAACCCCTGCGCAGAGCTCATCAAAAAATTCGGGATGCAATCAACACTGACAGCTGTACGGTACCCAAAGTCTAGACAATCTCAACGGAAGAAGAAGTCTAATTCCACGGCAGCTTGGCGGAATGTATCAAAGACCGAGCTCGCGACTTCCGACGAGATGCTATATCCACGAATCCGCGGTTATCTCGGAGAGGCTGTAGCACACGATGAGCCGCGAGTAGGCCTTCCAAAGATCCGCGGATAAGATCCGCACCAAACCGGATCCAGAAAAATATACGTATACATGTGTACAACTTATGTACAGTTCTCTGCGGATTCGCTGCTGATCTCCATATGTTTATGATATTTATGCGGAGCCCACCCTGAAGCATTTCATGCATTTTCCGCTTTTGGAAGTCTTCAACAAATGTTCCCAAACCCAGCTCTCCTGATCCGTCGCTCCCATGATGAGGAATGCTCCGTCTAAATACAAGGAGAACAACAAAAATGGATGTACGGGCTCGTCCCGGCTGCAGTTCATTCTCGATAATTCTAGGCTCTACAAACTCGTTCGCGGGGAGCAGTCCAGATCACGAACTGCGGAATAAGAACGCTTGCGCTTGAGGTATGAACAGTTGTCTCTCAGCTGCTATCGACTGGTTCCCGGTCATAAGTCGCAGCGGAGTCCGACGTGCAGAGCCGTCATGTCGGCGGGAAATGAGTGAGGGACCAAGCCCTCAGTTTTGAGACGAGAGGTTCCGAACCGATATGGGAAATTCATGACTCGCGTTACCTGCTTTTTCCATCGGAGAAACGCGATTAATGGTCGTTTTCCTCCCGACTACTATGCATGTACGATGGTTTTTCCCTACACTCGTGGAGTTCGTGGAACAAACTCGTGCGGATCTTGCGGATCCGGATCCGTAAAAATCCTGGAGATCTTGCGGATCCAGATCCGCGAAAATCATGCGGATCTTGCGGATCCGGATCCGCGGATCCGATCCGCTGGAAGGCCTAGCCGCGAGGCGAATTTCGAAGTCGAGGCATATTGCGGATTTGAGATCAGCGAGCGCGATGCATATAAAAGCTCGACCATGATCCTTGCAGATACTTCCTGATCGAATAACAGCGGGAACACGGGAGCTCCAGGGAATTCCAAGGAGCTCTCCGGCGGGTCCTGCCGTGCCATCCATTAATATCATCCCGAAATTGACGCTCGTCTTCCTTCTTCAGTACATTAGTATATGCACTCACATTCGCGTATCTCAGGGTGGGCGCAAGGTGCAAAGCGTCCCGGGCATTGCTTCTTCGACCAGTTCCCGGGGCGCGATTTCCGTTAATGACAACCCGAGAGAACGGAAAATACCATGGGACTCCACAAGTTAGATGGAATTCGGGGATAGAAGATACGGTTCCCGATGCCTAGTTTTCGGAGCTGACTTGACTGCTGCTGGCCGTAGATCGATTCCTCGGAGGGGGATCTCTGTCGGAAAGGGTTACATCTCCAGGTGAATATGTACTTGTCGGACGTTCGAGAGGAAGCCAATATCAGGCCTCATCAGTGGGTTATATAAGGGGGGCCATGGGTATGTATTTTACTCCAATCCCCCCCCCTCGAACATCGACTCCGTGCATGTAGCTCTACGGAGACAAACATCATTCTGCCCACGGCTCTTCAGTACTCCGTGCGATTGTTACACGAACCTTGTCTTCACTACAAGCACGATTCTTGCCGCACAATTTTGTCCCGACCAACCGATGCTCCTACCTGCAAAAATAAAGTTTGCAGGAAATCTGCCGAGCTTCCTCTTTCAGTGCCTATGGATAGAAAATCCATCGCGCACATAAATGTAAGATCCAGTTCCGTGATTCGAAGCGAATTTCGCCTTCTGATTCTCATTTTGACCCCTCTGCACTGGCTGAATCCCCTCCAGAGTCATGCGATGAGCTCACCAGTATCATATGCATCGAGAGGCAGCTGTCAGTTCTGGCGTTCATTCTGCTTGTCTATAAAACGAAGCTAATTCCCATCCTTCCAGTATGATGAGCAGCCGTACTTGGCGGAGTTCTGCCAACAGCCTGGGTACCACATGCTGCGACTACGAGATGAGAGGATTCGTTCGAAAATTTCCATCTCTGTACTGACCCGTCATCCGGAAAAAGTCGCTCCCTTCTCTGCGACTGCGTATCTTTTTCGAGCCAATGTCCGCAACCTTGATGAGGAGCACACATCTAATGCACCTGCTCTAGCTATAAAGTCCCGCCCGCACGATCGAGATACCATTCCTCGCTCGTACTTATTCAAACCACCATGAAGTTCGCCCTTGTGTCGTTACTCGTCCTCCTACTCGGTCTAAGCGTCGTCTTCGCTCAACCTACAGCCAACTCGCAAAGCGCCCTAGTTGACCTCATAGCAAGAGTTGCTGGTGAGCATTGTTTCGATTGCCCATGATTCGGTGCTTCTACGAAAATATTCGATCCACATGCGATCGTATGATGAAATGAGGATATTCTCACTGAAACTGAGAATTCTGTCCTTCCCGTGCAGGACCTGAACGGGCCAATCAAATCATGAGCATGAGTGAGTGTCTAGATCTACAGCAATCCTAGCTCGACGTAGACAAAGGGTTCGGGAAGCAAAATTGCGTTCATGGTAGTAAGGAGATGATATCAGACACTCCCACCGGAACCTGCTCCTTTTCAGTCGCCCGACTACCCCTCGGGGCTGGCCAAGTGATCATCCCGGCAATGGAAAGGGCAGCCCGATTAGTCCCAGGGACAGGTTGATAGGTCTGTCCCTCGATCTCCGTGGGAACTGCGGCTGGATGCCAATGGCGGAGATGACTTCCTGAATCAGTGGAAATCGCTATAATACCGTGGGGTGATACAGAGGGTCTATCGGACCTGCGAGTTTCTGCCGAGGCCTTAGTCTCGATGTGAATTTCCCGATAAAGCCGAAGACTTGCTCCACGATTGCATCGTTCGTCCTCCGTCTTTTCATTCAGTGCATTTACAAATCGATGAATAAGGGGAATCGTTCGATGATTGCTTGCGCTGCCGGGAGGCTGAGAGCGTGGCACGGCATCGTGGCGATGGGAATAGAAACTCAAAACGGAGTTCAGGAGATGAGATTGCGCGAGGCTCACGGCCACAGTCGTTGAGGCAGCTCAGACGTCTGTG